GCTGCCCCAGAGAGGAGGAAAGTGGGGTCAAGCTATTTTTCAAGGCACCTTTGAAGGCCGGACAAGGAATAATGGATGGAAACTGCCCAAGAAGAGATTCAACTTGGAAATAAGGAGGAATTTTCTGACAGGGAGAACCATCAACCCATGGAACAGAAGTTGCCTTCGGAAGTTGTGGGAGCTTCATCCCTGGAGGCTTTCAAGAAGAGACTGGACTGCCATCTGTCAGAAATGGTGTAGGGGGGGGTTGGACTAGATGACCTACAAGGTCCCTTCCAACTCTGATTATCTGTTATCTGTTAGGTGAAGCGAGAAGCAGAGATCGAACGTGGTTACGTGGAGATGATGAGGATGATGATGATAAGATGTTGGATAACCATTTGTCTGAAGTGGTATAAGGTTGCCTGCCTAAGGGGTTGGACTAGAAGACCTCCAAGGTCCCTTCCAACTCTGTTATTCTATCCTATCCTGGGCAGAAACCAGGCCTTTGGAACACCAGACCTGGTTTTTGCATGAATTACAGCTCGTTCTCCACTTATGACCGATCACTTAGTCACTAAACTTGCAACGCAGAGATACCTAAAACCCTGTTTCAAAATTATGATGGCTCACCCCACCCCGCCACATCCCTGGTCACCTGGTCACATTTTGGACACCTGACCACTGTCCTGGAATGACGGCCATTGGTAGTTTCCCACAGTCAACACCGACCGTGTTTTGCATTTATTTTGCTGAAAAAAATCAGCATTGACTTCTGATTTTCAAGGGGAAAAAGAAACAACAAGCAAGATTGGGTTGGCTTAACGATGGCTGGGTTTGTTTAACAACCATCCCTTTGGTTTGACGATGGCGGTTGTTCATTTAATGACCGTTGCTAACTATAACAGGTGATAAAACCGGACAGGTGCACTTGGGCATTTAATTTAATTAACTTTAATCGGCCTTGTGACTTAGGATGTAATACAGGCGGTTCTCGACTTACAACGGTCCGTTTACTGACCATCCAAAGTTACAACAGCACTGGAAAAAAAAGGGGACTTGGGACCGCATTTCGCACTTACGACTGTCGCAGGAGCCCCGTGGTCACAATTCAGGCGCTTGGCCACAGACTCATAATTATGATGGCCGCGGTAGTCTCCCGGGCTCACACGATCCACTTTGGCGAACATCCGACGTGCTAAGTCCACACGGGGGAGCCAGATTCACTTAACAACCGTGTTTCCCACTTAACAATGGCAGAGAGATTCCTTTAATGACCACGGCAAGAAAGATGGTGGCAAAGGGGCACAAAACTGCACGAACGGCTTGCTTTGCTACAGAAATTGGGGGCTCCCTTGTGGCTGTACGTTGAGGACTCCCTGTTTTGCAAGAACTTGGGTCTTCCCCCCCCCGCCCCCCCCGGATGTATCTTCTTCATCCATAGTCAAGAGTCATCAATCATGCTCTCCAGTAATAATCTTGTGCGCCAGAAGCTTCGGTTGCCTAGAAATTACCCGAAGCATTTAAGGAATGCACTGCTTTCCCCCATTCCCTTTCTGCTGGCAACTCTAAAAGATCCAAAAATATTTTTGAGTTGACATTTGGCTCCCCTCACTTCTTGAAGGTGATTTGTACAACAATAACAAAAAGAAAACAATTTATTGCAGGTATAGAACTTAGGGTTACGAAACACATACACACCCCCAGGCTTCAAGCAAGGGGTTGAGCTAAATGACCACTTGTGTTCCCCTCCCTGGCTTTAACATCTTGCGAGTCTACGCGTCCAGGAATTAAACTACGCAGCTCAATCTTCTCGGCCCCGAGTAGCACAAAAAGAGGAACACAAAATATATATCTTTTATTTCAATTTATTTCGTAAGGTTTCTTTCTCCGGCTGACTTTTCGTTGAAGTTGAAGCTGGGCCAACCTCATTCTTTCTCTCCTCCCAACCCTTCAGTCCTATTTCTTATTTTTTTTCTTCTTCTTCTTCTGCGCTAATTCAAACATTTAATTGTATTTCCTCATTTTTTCTCTGCCCGCTGGGTGTTGGCAGCATCCCCAAGGTTGGAAGGGAAACGAAACAAAAAAAATTAAAAAAAAACCCAACCAACCACCGAAACTGCCATATTTCAGAAGAATTGCTTGGATCCAGTTTCTCCCCCAGAATTCTTTATTAAAAGTATTTATTTTAAATGTATTTATGATTTATGAAAGGGGCTCATTTTGTCGCAGGAACAATTCATGAGAAATGGGGACTGTGGAGGTGTGTGCATGCCTACACTTAACGTAAATTGAAAAACACACTTTGCACATGGATTCAGGATCAAAGCAGTTACGCGCCGTGCGTGGCGTGCATTCAAAGCCAGTCCTCCACTTATGACCACCTGCAAGCCTGACATTTGTGTTGCTAAGGGAGACAGGCGAGTTTCGAACCCCATTTTACGCCACGTCCTTCCACCGTTGTTAAGTGAATTTTTTTTGCAGTCGTTAATCTGGTCTTCAACGTGCAATCACAACCGAGCCCGACATTTGTGTGGCTAAACAAGACAGTCATTGGGTGAGTTTCGAACCCCATTCTATGCCCATTCCTGCCACTGTTGTTAAGTGAATTTCTGCCGTGATTAAGCTAAGCCTTCAACTGACAATCGAGCCCAACGTTTCTGTTGCTAAATGAGACATTTGTCAAGTGAGTTTTGCCCCATGGAATGAACTTCCTTGCTACTGTTGTTAAGTGGATCGCCGTTGCTGTGAAGTCAGTCACACGGTTGTTCAGTGAAACTGGCTTCCCCAGTGATGTGGCTTGATCAGAAGGTCGTAAAACGGGAATCACCTGACACACACACACACCCCAGTGTCACTGCGACCGTCGTAAATATGAATCAGTCACAAGCGTCTGAATTTTGTTCATGCGGCCAACGGGGAGGGCTGCAAGCGGTCGTAAGTCTGAAAAACCACCCTAAATCGCACTTTTTCCCCCCGTACCATTGTACTAAATGAACTGTTGTAAGTGGAGGCAAGGGGGAAGGGGTTGGACTAGATGACTTCCGAGGTGCCCTCCAACTCTTGTTCATCTGTAATCTGTGCTCTAACTGAACCCATTATTATTTTTTTGCCGTGTTTTTCTGCCATCCATCCTGCTGCAACAAAGCTGAATTTCTTCCAGGTTTTTCAAGCCTGGCTCCCGTGGATTGTGGTTTTTATGTTGTTGTGGTTTTAAAAACAAAAGAAAAACAAGTTTGCGTTGCGTTGGATACTCCGTTGGCCAAGACGTTGATTCTATTTTTTCCCCCTTTCTTTAAACCTGGCCAGCTCTCAGGAGCTTAAAAGTCTCGGTCTGCTGAAGGCAAACCTTGTTTGTCTTGGGTTTCTAAAGGTGGCTTATCCTTTCTTTTGCCCACAATAGCTAAATTTGCTCACAAAGGTGCCAATCAATAGGCAAACCGCCTGTTGTCAGAGGAAGAATAGGTGCAGGAAAAAGAAAAAATCCCAACCTTGGGGCAATGCTTTTTCCCTCTCTTTAAAACAAGTTTCTATCGATTTCATTTTAATGTATATATAGTATATACAACTAGCTGGATACTCATGTGCTTCGCTACAAAACTATGTGGTTGGGCTTAGTTTTGGGGGAGGAAAATAAGGGGGGAAAAAAATATCGGCCTCTGCCTACCAGCATCCATCACTATTCATCTGGCTAGTGCGTGAGAGAATGGAGGGATGTTTGGAAAACGAAACAGTATTTGCTGCGTGAACAAGAAAGGGACAGCAAGGAGCCTTGGGTGTGGCTTAGCTCAACTGTTCTGGACTAAAGCTGCTTGGGGCTGTGAAACTGAAACTCCTCTGCTTGTGTTTTGAATTTGGAACAGATTTCTTTCCAGGTGGGGAGGAGGAGTAGAACTCCTTAGCATCAGAGC